TTTGGAATTGTACAGGCTTGCCCAAAAGAAAAAACGCAACCTTGTGTTATGCGGTCACTCACTTGGTGGAGCAGTAAGTTTGATTAGCTTCTTTGCTTGAGTGTCAGCGGTTGCTTTACTTGTTATTGATTATAATTTCATGGAGTCTACGTGCTTTTGCCAATGTAGGTAGCAGTACTAGCTACCCTTGCTATTTTAAGAGTGGTTGCTGCTTCTTCTTCTTCACTAAAGGAGAATGAAAATGTTAAAGTCAAATGCATAACATTTTCCCAGCCCCCTGTTGGGAATGCAGCTTTAAGAGAGTAGGTTTCTGGTCCTTTTTTCAACTGACTTTCTGTGGTCTTTCATAGTTAGTGAAGATTTTTATTATTATTTTTCCTTTTATCTTATTTCAACATAACTAAAGTTATATTTCTTTTAATCTCTTATAGTTATGTTAATAGAGAGGGGTGGCAGCATTACTTCAAGAGTTACTGCATTCCAGAAGATCTGGTGCCTCGCATCTTGTCTCCTGCTTATTTTCACCATTATAATGCACAACCTCCTTTAGTGCCCGCTGAAACTGGAAGTACTAGCATATCCATGTTAAAAAGTGAGGAAGCAGTAGGAAAACATAAAGAGAATGAGGGGGAACAATTGGTTCTTGGTTTGGGACCTGTACAGACTTCTATCTGGAGACTTTCAAGGCTTGTTCCCTTAGAGGGCGTAAGAAGACAATTTAATAAATTTAGAGGAAAGAAAGTTAATTCTGTCGAGACATCTTCTCTGTCAGATTCTGTTGCAACAACTGTAGTGGATGATGACATTGTTGAAGCACAGTCTCTTGAAATCCAAGAGGGTTCTGATGGTATATCTCTTAAGCCTATCTCTGAAACTGATAAAGAGCCACCATATGTGTCACCAAATGAGAAGTCAGCTAAAACAAGCACTGCTAAAAATGGGGATGGCAGGACATGGCGTAGAGTGCCTTATTTACCTTCGTATGTACCATTTGGGGAGGTATTACGATACAAACTAGTTATCCTTTTTAATGATTTTTGAGCTTAGGGGCATGCATGAGAGGTTGAAAACTAGTCCAAACTTTACAATGCCTGATGGTTTTGTATGCTTATCATCAGGCTAATCGTTAAGTTCTTTATAGTTGCGAGCTCATCAGAAACTTTTTATTTTGTGCCAGCTTTATCTCTTGGAAAATTCATCAGTGAAGTCACTATCAGATGCAGAGTACTCAAAGTTGACATCGGTATGAGCTTCCTTTGCATGACCATCCCCCTTTTTTTTCTTTTGGAACTATTATACTTTCTCCTGCATAAAGTTTTGGCTTTTAACAGTTTTTCTTGCTCAGAAGTAGTTATAAGTTGTAGTGGTGTCTGGAATTTCTCATTTTATTTGCTTTCTTTTGGCAAAGACATTTTCAGGTCGGATCTGTGATTGCGGAACTAAGGGAACGATTTCGATCGCATTCAATGAAGTCATATAGGTTTCGGTTCCAGAGGTAATAAATGATATACATCCAAGAGTTTTTCTCTTTAATGCGCTAATCCCATTTTGAGTTGTGCTTCTGCAATATCCTTTCTTCCCAAATTGGTGTTACATTGGTCTGAAGGACTTAGTTTGCATATTTCCGACCCATGAATAACTCCTAAATCTAGGCTCTGTTTGCTGTTTTAGTTTCTCTTGATTTGTTGATTTCTTTTCATCTTGTTTTCCTGTGAAATATAATCGGTACAAATATCAAATCACTTTTGGACGTTGGCCATTGACCAAGCACTTAATGTAGAAATTCAACAAATGATCAAGTCTTCAATAATGGTATAGATCTATCCAGGAATGAGACAAGCTGTTCTGGACCCTGCTCAGTGCATTTTGTTTGAAATCACTTCTCGCGGACTTCCTACCTGGGAATTCACTGTTATTATGAATAGAATTTGGTGCTTTCACATCTAGGCAGTCTCCATTACACTATCCTTGAGATAATATACTTTTTAAAATCTTCATAGTTTCTTGATGTGCCTGCTGAAAATAACGCCCTCAGAGATTGAATTTTACCGGATCCTGCATCATGCCTTCAGAGATTGAATTTTACCGGATCCTGCATCATGCCTTCAGATTAGCCATAACTTGATTCACATGATACCCAAATTTTGCAGTCTTGGGCCATTAGGTTTATTGAGAAGATATGCCCAGAACTTGTAATTTCTGCAAGTATGCTTTGAAAAATGAAAACGTTATCTCATGTACTTCATTTGCACATTATTATTGTGCAATTTTAAGTACTGTAAGTTTCTTACCTTATCTAACCTTGTTTCCTCTGCAGAATCTATGACCTGTGCATGAGAGATGATACCTCACCTTTTTCAGGCATAGAGCAACTGCAGCAGTTTCCGCATCTGCAGCAATGGCTTGGCCTTGCAGTTGCAGGAAATGTGGAGCTTGGGCATATTGTCGAGTCTCCAGTTATTCGGACTGCTACTTCAGTTGCTCCTCTTGGATGGAATGGCATACCTGGTGAGAAGAATGGAGATCCACTAAAAGTTGATATCACTGGTTTTGGATTGCATCTTTGTACACTTGTTCATGCCCAAGTGAATGGCAACTGGTACTGTTCTTTGTAACAATCTTCATGGATGTCTCTACTCTCTGTGCATTCAATTCTTTATATTAATGTGATATCATATCTTCATTTAGGTGCTCAACAGCAGTAGAATCCTTTCCTGCTACCCCAACTTACTCTTCAAATTATGGAGAGAAGGTGGACCTACAACAAATGCGAGTCTTAGTTGGAGCTCCGTTGAAACAACCACCAAAGCAACAGATGGTAGCAGATTCATTTATGCATGTGTTTCCTATTGATTCCAACACAGCTAATCTTAATAGGGAGCACACTTCAGGACCATCTCCTGAGGAAAAGTCCATCCGTCCTGAAGGATTAAGTGAATTTTTCATATTTTGTACCAGTGATTTTACCACAGTCTCAAAAGAGGTTCATGTGAGAACTCGTAGGGTGCGGTTACTTGGACTTGAGGTATTTATGTTTTAATTTTTGCTTGAAAACTTTCTTTATATATATTATTTGCCATCTAGTGTGTAGTGAGTCACATGATATATTTCCCATGTAGGGTGCTGGCAAGACTTCACTTTTTAAGGCTATATTATCTCAAGGCAGATTAACCAATATTTCCAATATTGAGAATCTGCTTCCAGAAACTGATGTCCAAGAAGGTATTTCTCGTGGTTTATGCTTCTGTGATTCAGCAGGGGTAAATTTGCAGGTATTTCCTCCTTGTTAAGGAATGTCCATATTGGCATGGAATATCTTATTCTTTCTCATGGTTTAAAGTCATATATCTGGAATTCATATTACAGGAGCTGAATATGGAGGCCACTCGTTTCAGAGATGAACTATGGGCAGGAATTCGTGATCTTAATCGAAAGACAGACTTGATTGTTCTTGTTCATAACCTGTCTCATAGAATACCACGCTCTAACAACTCAAATGGATCCCAGCCAAAGCCAGCCCTTTCACTTCTACTGGATGAAGCTAAATCTCTGGGAATTCCTTGGGTTCTTGCCGTAACAAACAAATTTTCTGTCAGTGCTCATCAGCAAAAAGAAGCAATTGGTGCTGTTATCCAGTCATACCAAGCATCTCCGAGAACCACTTGTGTTATCAATTCCTGTCCATATGTCATGCCCAGTGCTGGTGCAAGCACTGGAGATGCTGATGAGAGGATGAGTGCTCAAAAGCTTATTTATGCTCCCATAAATCTTGTTAGGAGGCCTTTCCGGAAGAAAGAAATCATTCTCCCAGTGGAGGGTGTCAACTCTCTTCGTCAAGTAGTTCATCATGCACTACGAACCCATGAAGAAGCCGCCTTTCAGGTAAACAAACGTCGCATCATCCTTATGTCACAGTGGCTGATGAAGGATAGTATTATCTTTTTGTTCTAATTCTTTCATTCCTTACTGCTCTCTAGATTTATTGGCTACTGTTTCACTTCCATATTATAAGTTGTGGTCTCCAGTTATATCATTTCATTGTTGATATGCTTTATTTGCATTTTTAAGGAACTTGCTAGAGATCGGCTTTTGGTGGAAATGGCACGAGAGCGTGCGATGGCTATGGATGCAAGCCGCGATTCTCAAGCTAAGGCAAATTCACTTACATCTGCAGCTGTGGGTGCTTCCCTTGGAGCTGGCCTTGGGCTTGTCTTGGCTGTTGTCATGGGTGCAGCATCTGCCTTGAGGAAGCCTTAGAGAGCTCACGTCTGATATCTTCAACATTATCAGTGTTTGGGTATAGCATCTGCGTTGTTTCTAGTTACTGGTAGCGGATTACAGGCCATTTTTTCATTCTTGTTCTGTTAAATTTTCATTTTTAGGCAAGAAAAATAGGTCTTCTTGTAGATGGGAAATGTTCCTGAATGCTATATTTTCTTAGCTAGTTTTATTTTTTCTAATGTATATATAAATTTTCTTGAACAGATATTTGGTTCGTGTAACATTATTGTACAACTCCAATAGTCTTCTTAAAAGGAAAATAAAATAAAATTATAATGCTTCAAATGATATATAACTATGTATATGCTTTTGCTGATAAGGATCATGCCAATTGGCCTCCAATGAATTATAAAAAGTAATATACATCTCAAACATGCTTAAATTCCAATCCAACATAAAGAACTCAAATTGTTCAAAAATCAGATTTTGGAGGAAACAGGTGGGTGTTTCCCATACTCGTATGTATGCCTGCTCCATCATCACTGAAACCTATTGTTGAATTTACTCCCAGGACTCACAACACAATAAGAACTTCAAATTAAAGAAAAAAAATAGTCTTATTGGTGGCTAATCCCCAAAGACAGATTTGTGAATGACAAGCTCAGACATCAATAACCCTAGCAACCACCCTAAAGATAACCAGGATAGAAATATTTGTTTAGGGCTGGGAAGAAAGAACAGTCTAAATAGAAATGTGAAACTTGAGTAATAGAGAGAGATCATCCGGCACAACACGAGAGATTCATCCGACTTTTCCTTGAGTCTGCCCCATTTTTCACCAGGTTTACTCTATTGACAGATAACTCGGCCTTGTAGGAACCATCTCGAAAGCCGTTTGAACGTTGGTAGCATTCAGTGCAGAAGTCTCCATGAAGAATAGGCCTTCTTCTTCTGCAAGGCTTTTGCCATCTTCCACGCTCACATCCCTGATATCCTCCAAATCACACTTATTTCCTACCAACATCCTTGCTACTGTTGTTTCGCAATGAGCTGCATAATCATTCAATTAAGCATTAACTATCTGACCTTTAATAGATTGGAGATATGAACATAAATTCTTCTTATCAATTCCAGGGATGGTAACTAGATGATAAAAAATAAGCATAATAAAAAAAATTAAAATAAAAAGCTGAGCAAACACAAATCATAATGAAACTACAAAGATTACCATGTTGACATAAACCTTATATATTCAGTACTACGGCTCGTCACCTCTCACTCAGAACTTTGTTGTGCCTTTGTTCCATTGATATTTATATGCCTTAGTTAAGTAAAAAGAAGAACACCTAAGCTAATGCAATGCAATAATAAAACAGTGTATCCCTTCCCTGGTGATTGCGTATGTCAACAATAACATGAGCATGTTATCATCAAGAGGTATCCTATTTCCTAGCATGCTTGTGAAATTACCAATTAATGGGTTTTCCAAACTCAATGGACTTGCGTAATAAGTATTACCAACCCAAAAAGTTTAAACAAATAAATGCAAACCAAGGGGTGGATACAACATGCTTTCTAAGCAATTGTATAAATTAAGTATTAGCCACTTAATTAATACAAGTTCATCTATTATGTGCACACACAGAAATGCTACGAATTTGCATTTGTTGGATGGAATATTCTAGGCAAGCCTATCAAACACTAGAAAAGGAAATTATTTCATCCTCTTACATAAAAAGACATCACCTTGATGGTTCTAAGGTATGCTTAAGTTCTAACATTTATGAAAAGATGACAACTAGTTTGGAAACAGTTGCCTTTCAATACGAATAAACAAACTCCATGTTAGGCAGCCCACAAATCATAAAACCCTGAATTAGTACTTCAACGCTTTACCTAACCTCATAAATGTTCAACCAAAAAAGCATCCAAATTTTAGTCCCTAAGACGATCAATATAAAACACATTCCCTCTTGACTCTGGCACTACTATCAGCCACAAAAGTAGTAGCTGTTCCTCATTTGGGATTTTCTGCACCCAGTTATTACAAGTTGTAACCAATGACCATTATCACCACCTATTGAGCACCCACATTAATCACCCATAAGAACCATCCATGAACACCACCAACAAGAAGTCAGGCTTTATTATCAGCAAAGCTGTATCCGGGGAAGCACATGTCCCCAACAAATTAGAAGCCTTTCTGTTCCCATTTATACAAAAGAAGTAAACAAGCAACACACAGACAACAAATTGTCGTTTCCTTATTTAATTGCATCATGTACAATCAGAACCAGAGCAACTGTGAAAAAAAGTTAGTGGACATGTAACAAACCAAATAAAGCATCCAACAATTCGCAAACCAAAGACAAACATAGCTAAAAAGAATCGATCTGTTACTGAAAATTGCATATCATCCAGTCCAAAACCCACAAACATCTCTTCGTTTTCCCCGCATTTTCTCACCAACTAAACATAAAACGAGAAAGAAAAAACCAATCTTAACAAAAGGGGCAGTAAAAAACTTACTGGTAAGCTCATCGAGCCAGCGCTTGACACTCTCAAAGGTGGTCTTCCTACTGATATCATAGACAATAAGAGCACCAACAGCGCCTCTATAGTAAGCAGAGGTCACAGCCCTGAAGCGTTCTTGACCAGCAGTGTCCCAGATCTGGGCCTTCACCATTTTTCCATCGATTTCCAATTCCTGGGTCAGAAACTCAACCCCAATTGTGGCTTTGTTGTTGGGGTCGAACTCGTTTCGAGCGAACCGCGAGAGCAGGTTCGACTTGCCCACTGCCGAGTCTCCTATCAGCACCACCTTGAACAAGTACTCTTCTCCTCCTACCTCTTCCTCCATTGGCCCGCTCTCTCTCTCTCTCTCAGAGTCTTCGAGACTGTGAATGCTTGGCCTTCTTATGATAAGGAGAGGTTTTGTGTGTCTGTATGTGAGAGAGTGGAACTTTGGGTTAGTATTATAGCGCAGGAAGCTTTGGACAAAGCTGCGTAATTGGCGGGTTAAAAAAAATTTGGTGATTTTTTTTCTCTTTTTGGATCTTTTTTATGGGTTTTGGGCTGGGCCTTAAACTCAGTGAGTTGAGTGGGTTGTGGGCGACTCTGTGGTGAGTGAAAATATTTTATGTGATCGTCACATAAAAACGTAATGATATGAAGCCTAATATAAATGGTAACATTACTTGACGTCGTGTTGATCATCCATTAACTTTTGTTTGAGTTAAAAGTCTGATAAGTGGCTTTTCTTGGCATGCGGATACAGGTTGCCTTTTTAACTATTGATATTCAAAGTCCAGACAGCTAGTTGTGGAGAATATTCAGCATGTCCCTTGGTTTAATGGTAACGTATATGATCATCATGTGGATCATTTTGATGAAAAAAGAACACAATTGCATTAGAAGGAAAAAAAAATCATGAACAAAAAATAGAAAGAAAACGGTGTCTCAAACATTATCCTAGCTGCACCTGACCATCACTGTCAAATTTCTCTTTGACGTAATTATATATTGTTTCAAGAAAGTATGCTTTACGATGCTTAGAAAGGGGTTTTGAGGTGCGCATCCCAAGGACAAATCTTACATAATCATTTCATTTTATTTCTTTAGAGCAATCTATCAAATAGTGATACTATAATATATGTGATTGAAAAACTTAAAAAGTGATTTTTGGGTCATGATAACATTTTATGCATTTTCACTTAGTTTCTTAGTAAGGATTCCGACGTATTTATAATAAAAACGCTTATAAGCAGAATGTGTGATTGGGAAAATACATTTCTTGTTGAGCGTCGAATTAGGAATTTAAATAAACAAAAAACAAAGATACACACTCGATCTCAGAAATGGAAGTAAATGGAAAAATAGTATGGAACTTTCTTTCCCTTGATATATCTTTTATTTTTGTCTGTATACCTTTCTGGCAGTTCACAAGTAGAATCTTTCCAAGGAGAGAAGACCCATAAAGCAATTGAGAAGTCAATAATCAGTAATGCAAGCCCAAAAAGTTGACCATGAAATGATCAGACATTTCCTCCGGCAGACCCGTGCTTCAGTTTAATGGAGACACTTTCTTTTCTTATGATTTTCCAAAAGCAATTACACTGTAGCACGTTTAAGCTTTTTGTAAAAGTGATTTTCTAGTGCATTGTTCAACTAATCTAATACAATCAGATGTTTGTCAGTGCAGTGTAATCTTCTGTCTGCTTGCTCCTATTTCTGTGTAGTGGGTATTGAGTGTAACAAAACAGGAACCAAGAAAAAATCTTGTCTCCTTCTAGAAGCAATGCTTCTTCTTTCTTTTCGGCGGTGGAAAGTGGTGAAAACCAACAAAGTCAAAATTGTCGGCAATGTAATGGTTTCTTCATCCACATCCACTACTTGTCTGCTTGGTGGCTAATAAAAGCAGCCTCGCAAAATGAATCTTTCATCTCATGCAATGCAAGTGAGCTGAGCCACAATGAAGATTATTAACTTGGCATGCCATATTCTTCTCTTGCTAGTTCTGATCTTCTTCTCTTGTTGCAGTGCAGAATCTCAAGACCCTTTGGGAGATTTCTGCAACGAAGATAGTACTAAAATAAGTAATGCTAGCCAAATATCAGCAAATATTGATACTTTATTGGCTCAATTGGTGCCCAAAACTGCTTCACTTGGTTTTTTTGCTACTTCCTATGGCAAAGGCCAAGACCGAGTCTTTGGCCTGGCTCAATGCAGAGGGGATGTTGTGGGCAGCAAAGACTGCTCTAGTTGCATCCAAGACGCTGCAAAGCAAATCCGCAAGCGCTGTCCAGACCAGGCAGATGCTCGAATTTGGTACGACTATTGCTTCTTGAGGTACAACAACAAGAGCTTCATTGGGAAAGTTGATACATCTTATGGTATATTGTACGGGAATGTCGATAATGTGACCGATCCCGAGAGCTTCAACAAAGAACTAGGAGATCTGGTGGACAAGATTGAGGCACAAGCTGTTGTGCCAAAGAATGGAGGACTTGGGAAAGGTGAGACCAAGCTGTCACCATTTTTGACACTATATGCTTTGGTGCAGTGCACAAGGGACTTGTCTCAGCTAGACTGTTCTCAGTGCTTGGCCATTGCAGTGGGAAATTTCGGAACCTTTTGTGACAACCGCAAGGGTTGTAGAGTTCTATATAGCAGCTGTTATGTCAGATATGAGCTCTATCCATTTTTCTTCCCTCTTGATTCAAACAATACCCTGCCTGTGGCTGATAATACTTTAATGGCTGTAGTTTATGATCCATAGATTATGTATTCATAGTATATACTGGTTCAAAATAAGCCACAGCCAAAATAAGACAATCCAAAGGAAGATGCGGCACAACAAATTCCATTAACATGTATACGTGTGTGTTTTCTATGATAAAATTACAGCTTTGATAAGTATGCATCTCGTATCTTTTGATAATAATGATTTCATTTGACTTTGCTAAAAAGCGATGCAATTATAGAGATGGGTTTACTCGTGATTGGAAAACCAATATAAGAATAATTGGTTGTGAGGTCATTTTCATCTCATTGAAGTGGGATCTCAGCCTCTCACTGATGGGACCAATTGCCCCTTTAAGACGAGTAAAACTTAGTTGCAAAGGGAATAGCACTATTTTGCTATTCCCGACCAATAATGCAATGCCACGTGGAATTGCTGTCACACGTGTCACAATGTTATTGGTCGAAGATAGCAAAATAGTGTTATCCTTTCATGAAAGTCTTTCTCCTTAAAACACAACTATTTTGTTCAAATGTCCGCCAAAGCCAGTGGAATGCCATGTTATGGTGGAAATGGGTTTAAAGTGGGGCAAAGTGCAAGAAATTGTGTAAAGTTGGAATTATAATGTTGGGTCAATTTTATAATGGTTGACGTCAACATCCACTAAAGATTTTATAGACTAATATTCAAAGACAGTTCCAATGGCCCTGCCAAACTTCAAAGAAAGAATGCAGAAATTTTGTAAGGCTGCCATTCTGATTATAAATTTCCTTATTCATTTACATGTATTTATTGTTTGTACTCAATGTATATCTACAATTTTGTCACCCTTTGAGTCATTTACATGTTTGCACTCAGAGTTTGGCTAGTAGTTGGCTTTGCCATAGCTTCTGGGGAAGGGGATAACATCTCTTACATCAGTCAGGCCAGTGGAAAACAGAACCATAAGATCAAACTCAAGACTGAATCCAGAGTGCTTAACAGTTCCATGCCGGCGAAGATCCAAGTACCATTCGTACTGCTCTCTTGCTAAGCCTAATTCCTTAACCCTGCAAACAAGAAACAGCAAATATGAGATTTATGTTTCCATGTTCACAAGAAAGTAAGAACAGCCTTTTGGCCATGAGACTATGAATGCAAGTTAAAGACCTTGTAGTTAGAATAGTGATGCGCTCCTCATTTTGGCTACCAGAAATCAACTTTCCAGCCTGCAAACAAAAATGTCTTTCAGCTTGAAAACCAGTTTAAAATAAATGTGGGATTTATAGGGATGGAGAAGTTCTGGTACAATGGTCTTTCATGGTTTCTTTTGAAAAGCAACTACGAACTTACCTTCGGCACAACGATATCAAATGCTGCAACTGTCTTTCCATCATCATTCAGCCTTACATAAAATGGCTTGGCTTCTTTTGGATAATTGTATATGATTACAGGCTTCTTGTAGATCTCATCAGCCAAATAACTGCGATGCATGAAAAAATAGTTAGGAAGCACCACAACAGCTGGATGTCCTTACCACATAACTGTGATATTGGCCTACGTAGATCATTATCACAATGTTTATATGCATACCTCAGATCTGCTTCTGTTAATGCAGCACCCCACTCTATTTTTGTATCAATTTTCTTCTCTGTAACCTGGCAGATTAAGATCAACAAAACTTCATAAATAATATTTGTGGAGAAAGAAACAATTGTCAGAATTACATCAAGGACCATTTTATGCAACCAACCTTCTTTATAGCATCTAATGCTTCAGTGTAGGAAATTCTTTCAAAGGAACTTGATATCACCGAATGAAGATGATCAGCTCTGGTTTTGTCGATTCGTTGAGAAACAAATTTCATATCTTCAGGACAGTTTTCTAATACCCATTTGCAGAGGAACTTGAGAAAGTCATCTGCACAATTGATTGCATCCTGGAAGCTCCATAGGATATGGTTAGGTTTGATTAAAAGTACGTAACTCACAGGATCACATCAAACTATAAGAATCAAAGATAACAATTCAAAATGACAGATGATCTTCAAGAAATTTGTGTGCTTATAATCTGTATTAGACCAAAATTCAATCATGCCAAAAGCATTAGCTTATACCTCTAATTGTGAAAATGCCAATTCCACTTCAAACATCCACATCTCTGCAGCATGTTTCGGGGACTCCTCTTTATCTGCTTGAAATCTGGGACCAAAGGAGTAAACATTTCCAAGGGCACAAGCATAGCTCTCCAGATGCATTCGACCAGAACTGGTTAGATAAGTTGGGCTGGAGAAGAAATCCTCAGAAGATTTAACATTGTCAACCTTTTTAGAAGTTTTTGGTTTTGTTTTTTCTCTTGCTTCCAACTGTGATGCTAATTCATTTGCTTTCCTTAAATCCTGCACTGCAGCATCCAATGCTTCCTTATTGCTATCAGTCCTCTTCAGTTCCTCTACCAAGTTACTTTTCTCCTTCACAGCAGCCTTAATAACATCTAGACTAACACCTTCAAGTTCAGCAATGGCCTTATGATGAGGCTCCTCCTTTCCACCTGCTTTTCCAAAAAGACTAGTAACCTGGAACTTTTCACCGAATCCTTTACAGTCTGTGGTCGTTAGAATCGGTACTTGCACACTAAGGAAACCATGGTTTTGACAAAATGTCTGAGCTGCGAAATCCAGTGCATTGCGGATTCGCATAACAGTTGCCACCTATATAAAGCAGAACATGTGTTAGACCCCCAAAACTTCAGCTACAAACCAA